ATGCCAATTGGTGATGCTGTGGATTATGGTAAATTTAAGGAATTGGTTTTAAAATGGTTTCAGATTACACCTGAAACATATAAAATTTAGTAGTAAAATTTAGAAGACTTAAGAGAGAGTCTGGATTAAGTAATGCGGTTTATGTGAATCAAATGAGAGATCTACTGGATAAGTGGGCAAGGGGAAAAGGTATTACAAGCTTTGAAGCAAAGTATGATTTGGTTGCTCAGGAACAGTTCCTGAATATGTCTAATGATGATGTAAAACAGTGTTTAGGGGATAAAAAGGTAGAGATGATTGAAGAACTTGCAACTTTTGCAGATAAATGTGAACAATCTCAAGCACCTAGTTGGAATAAATCACAGGCAGAGGGGTTTTAGTTGGTGGGAAGCAAGGTTCCCAATTTTCCACTGGGAAGAAGGAAGGTGGATGGGAGGCTGGACACTCACCTCCCCACGTTAACTCCTCCAGTCCTTGTCCCAAATCTCCTGTAAAAGCAGAAGAGCCACAGAAGGTGCTATTATTGTAATTCCACGGAGCACCTGAGGAATAAATGCCCTATGCTGAGTGAGAACAGGCAGCAGGTAACTCATGGAAATGCTGCTACCCATAGCACAGAGGCACCTCAGGCAGTTGCCACTTATCATACACAGTTTGTAAAGGTTGCCACTGCACAGCCAGTTTGACTTAGTTGCAAAGTTTTGGAACTAGGGATTTTGTGGTGTAATAAATAAATAGCATTCCACCAGTTCAGTAACCTTTTCTTATTGTGGAGGATGGGGGAGGTTGATAAAATCAGATGCTGGAACACTGTCTCATTAATAAGAATTATGGAAATTCCCCTTCATGATTATCTTTGACACTAGTACACACTGCATACTAAGGAAGTTAATCAGACTGAAGCTATAGTCCACTTTCACTAACATCATTTTTACCTCAAATCTAATGCATGTAGCTAGCAAATGATAGACTACTCCTTGATAACTTTTTATTCTAATTCTTTCAATTTTGTAATTCTGTAGTACAAATAAAACTGAATTGCTTAAATTGTCTAAATTTTCTCTTTAGAAATCTCTCAATTTTCTTTGGAATTATATATAGTGATATGGTCTGTAATAGAATATATCTAAATACAGTACTTTTGATAAACTTGATGGTCATACTGTCTTAATTCAAAATTAGTCCCAAAATATTAAAAATAAATTGATATATTCTATAATATTAAATAATGTAAGTTGTTTCATATCTACTCATATTGAATCTAAAAACCTAATTTTATTCAGACTACAAAAGAATAAAATGGCAGTCCTTCCAATGTTTAGATTATTGAGGTAGAATGGGGTAACATCTGTATACAAATACAGTTTTGCTTCTGTCAATTTAAGAGAAAATTTTTCAGTTTTCTTACAGTTCTTTTGGAAATTTTAATGCCTCTGCATGATCTTCACTATCATCATGTTTGTAGCCTGTGATAGGGCCTTCAGTGGCCGGGCAGCCTAGCATTTGGATAGGGGCTGGAGGGCAGAACCTGCCCTCCTTTCCCTGAGGTCCTGGCTTAGAATCCTGGGCCACTCACACCCCTAGACAGGGGAGCTGGATCTTGCTCCCAGCCATGAGTGGGAGGCTCAGGACCTGTTGTAAGTCCTTTAGTTTGGGGCATGGCCCTGCTAGTCCAGTTTCCCCATGGTTGGCGATTGGCAGTAGAGATCCCCCTTGGCAGGGGAAGACTTACTTGCTTCCAGTGGCTGCATTGGCAGGGAGGTTGCATCTGTGCCTTCAGGCAGACACACAGAGAGCTCCTACCTCTTCACCAGTCAGCCCCTAACTGAGCCAGGCTACCTTCTTTTCTCCCCCTTCCAGGCCTGGCATTGGCTTCAGGTATAACGGGTGAGGCTAACTGAACGCAAAGGTTTTCTTTAATCCCTGCTGTGCCTGGCAGCTGCCTCTCTGCTCCTTCACATAGCCAGTTTTGCATAGACTATACATATTCATATTAGTAACTTTATTCAGTACATTCATGGTGTTCCTGTGAATTTAACGTAAGTTTAAAGTTTTGGTAAATGTCAACAAAAATAAATTATTATGCGTTTGTGACTGAATAATTTTCCTTCTCTGAGTCATATCAATTATATTTCCTGGTCCTGCAGTCCTTATTCAGGTGAAACTCCAACTGAAGTCAGTGGTCATTTTGCTTGAGTAAGGACTGATGGATGATAATTTATACTTAGCTAGCAAAAAAATTAGATCAGTATCAGGTCATAAGTGTCTAAAGACAAACAGTAACAGTATTTTTCTAAAGCAAGACACCAATAAAATTTTTAAAGGAAAAGAAACGTGACAAACCTCTCATATAATTACATAAGTGAGAACTTTTATATTCACAGTCAGTGCCATATTATGATATGTAATTTCACGATTCAGGAACACAATTTTAAAATTACCAACACTAATTATTAGTAAAGAACAAGGGGAAATGTGATTTCAGTTATTGCGATAAATAATAGCTTTTGTCAAGAAAAGCAAGTATCTCACAAATTATAAACATGCCTTTTGTTGAATGAACTTGTATTGCTGGGTATTATAGTGGAGAAAATGTTAAAGAACTGTTCATTGTTTAAAAATAACTTCTGTATGTTCTTGAGATCAGTTATTTGGGATGGCAAAGCAAATAAATTAGATCTCTGTAGGCAGTTTTAACATTTGCACCTGATGTTTGTGAAAAGTGATCTGCATTTTCATTCCTATTTCTACATTTTCCACCCTTTTTCATTTAATAACAATAATACTTAACGTTTTAGTAGGTAGTTTTTCATATCTTCACAGGTCTACAAACAAATTAATTTTCACAACACCCCTGTAAGTCTGAAAATTAAGTTGGTCATTGTCCTTATTGTATACCTGAGAAAGCTGTGATTCAGCTAAATTAAGTGGTTTGCTGAGGACCACATAGTAAGTCAGTGACAGATCCAGTATTAGAACAAAAGCATTCTGACTCACAAGTCCTTGCTTAAACCATTAGACCATTTTATCTCACTTCTACATTGCCTTCTTTTTATGGTAGCAATGACTTTTCCCTCATTTTATATCCCCTTTCATATGCTGTACCATCAGAATACTCACAGATTCAGTGAGTTAGAAATTTATTGTTGAATATTGTTCACATTTAAATAGGAAAGAAGTATATTAAACTATCTTTCTTCATGTAACTTACACAAAAATCAACGTTCTTGTAATACATATGTTATTCATGAACGTTTGTCTTATGAGAAGCCCTTGAAGGGTAATCTTGTCACATGGCTAATAATTTTATCCTTGGTTGATTAACTGTATCAGCGTCAAGTTGTGCTATTTAAAAAAGGGCAGAATTGCTTCCAAAAAGCATGTAATCTCACTGTATAAGGAAACTGCTGTCTTTTAGACAGCTGTTAAGTCTTTGTTGATTAAGGAAATATTTGAGGCTGCAGCCTGATTGTTCTCAATTTCTATTATGAACACATTTTTAATATTTCTGAATGAGAGAATGCTTTTTAGTTATCAAGAGAAATCTGGCATAGAAAACACTGATGTTCATATTAGGGTTTTTGCTTCATCCATTGTGATCCTGATGTTTCATTATTGCTGAAAATTGGCTGATTCATTCAGTGTAACATGATCATTCTATATGCAGGCAAAAGGAAATGAATTACACTTGATAGAACTCTCCAGAAGGAAGTCTATTTCAATCAAGTATCTTTACCTTCTCTCTAATTCTGTTCATTTTTTTCTTTTTATACGATTCAAGTAAATATATTGTATAAATACAAACTTAGTGTATTTCAGCGAGGATGGAGTTTGGAGAATTAGTCCCAAAATATGCTTTATCTAATGGTCTGGTTTTGAAAATACCAGATCATCTTGTTAAATAAGGAGCTGCTCAGGGGTAAAAGAGTAAATGTGTGTGCAAAATTGTAGCATGTTGTCAGGGTAATATCCCTTTATAGATTATATTATTATTGATGCTGTCAGGGTATATTTCTTTCTGGATAAAAGCAAAGCCATAATCACAGAAGATAACAGAGATCAAAATTTTCTTCCATGACTCCAATCGTATGTACACCTAGACTGATACTTCAGAAGTCAATCATATACTACAGTCTCATTTTCACTTTTAGCTTTCTGATTCTACAAGTACAGAATTTTCTTTCATAATTTATGTCTGTATGAAATCATGAGATCTTTCTGTTTTTATTTTAATACTGTCTTGTATTATCACCATGAATGTACAATGGATGTCACCATGGAAAATACTGTTGTTGGTTTCTGAAGTAATTATTACTTTGGCAGTAGGTGCACCAGCAATTGATCTGTCTTTGAGCCAGTTCTGTGGGGCCATAAAGGGATGCAAAGGCCCAGAAACAAGCAGAGGGGGCCTCAGAACCAATGTAGTATGTTCCCCTCCCCGAAACCATGGAAGCCCTTCCACACAAGCACTATGCAGTTAGGATTCAATGGATATTTGATTACACTTGAAGGGGGGCAAACTTAGGAAGCCTCTGCTCTATACAGCATGCTCCCCTAAGTATCCAATGGAAATATGTATAAAAAAGTAGGTGTTAATTAATTCTGCTATTTGCAGTGTTAGCTGGTGCGCTGTGTGTTTGCTGCTCCATTTTGGTGGCGTGATAGACCATTGGCATCCTGGCTCTCAACAGTGCTAGGCTGGCACAGATTGAGTTACAGAGAGACGCATAGAGGCTCTGGTTCTCCATGAGCTGTGGATTGAGATCAGATTTCTCCATGGCTCCTCGGACTCTGTGTACTTTAGTGGCTGCATCCTCCATGTAACCTCATTACTCTGATGAAAGTATAAGTCAAGTTTTTCTCAGTTTGAAAACCATTGGTTTTTACACTACTACTTCTCTTTCCTCTGTTTTTTCTACATTATAAGAGAATGTAGGCCACAGCATTTACCACTGAAGAGTCCTTTAAATATTCTTCTTCCTTGTCTATTATTTTATTAGATGGATGAACCGTCTGGGACTTGCAGCCATTGGTTATACACCTGACGACAAGGATAGTCGGCCAGATGAAGGTACGGCTTCCGTGATTTTAATCAAAATTGACTTAGAGAGGTCTGAGAAGAAAGAAAGGCTCCAAAAATGCTTCTGTTTATTGAGTCAACTCATGATTTGGTCATAAATCACAGATATCTCATGAGTTTTTCATTAATGTAGGCAGTACCTTTTAACTATTTGTTTTCATAGATATGTGTAATCCCTTAGAAAATACATTTAACTGTGCAAACAGAAGAAAAAATGAAATCCAGAATGATCATTTGAAAAAGCAAAGAACACAGTCTTAAGGCAGTCTTTAGGAAAACAAGCATGATTAATAGAATTGCTATTTTACATTTAGTATAAGAATGCTAAGTGAAAGCAGATGGCTCTGCATAGGTCTCTGTTAGTGCCATCAGCTGTGCTAATCCCTAATGGGAGAGTGACATGGGCATAGAGCAAGTTGCACTTTAAACTCCTTTTAGTTCCTCTTGAGTGCACTCTTCAGGTGACTCCTTCACCTCTCTTGGGGTGGAACCCCAAAGTCCAACCACCCTTGGACTGGATTTCTGGGTTGCAGCCCTGATTCCAAACTGTGTAAACACAGCAGGCCTAAATGTACTTGGCACCTGCAAGGAATTTTCTCTTTAGGAGTCTGTGATCAGCAACTGATTAAAGAGGCTTAAAAAGTTGCATCAAAACAAACATATTTTTGTTCACCCAAAGATACATAGTAAGAAGGATAAAACAACAAAAGGTCTATATACCTCATTCTTACATCACTTTATTCTTTCCTTGCAAGTGCTGGGTAAGATCCACTCAACCCAGCCATTCCTACTCCTGGCTGGGAGTGATAGACGATCGCCTTTGCAGTATTCTCTGTGTGTGTCTGTCTCTCTGTCAGAGGCTCACCTCCTGCCACTGCTGCCGCCCAGCCGCCTCTTCCTCCCGAGGCTGAGACATTGGTGGTTTAGTATCCCCTTTGGTCTCAGATTTGGGCCTGAGAAGAATAAACCTTGCTCTCTGACAGTACCTTATTTTTGCCATTGTTTCATTTCTTGTTTGTTTCCCCCCTAACAGTCTTCTTTAAGTTAACTCCTCAAAATTAGGTAGGATAATATCAAGCCAATAAACTCAGATGCAAGCGCATATGATCTTCATTAAAAATAATACAAACAACTCCCTCATTCTCCACAGAGAGACAGAGTAGTAGCCCTGCCCCCCATTGCTCCATCAGCCAGCAGAACAGGTCACACACAGATGTGGTGAGGAGAATGTACTCATTTAAAGAGAAAATAGTAAACAGGAGAGAAAAATGAATGGAGAAAAAGTGTACTTTGTTTTTACATTATGCAGTCCAGATACAGTCTTTTATATCATCACGTACAGATTATGATAAAATACCCAGGAAGGAACATTTCGACAATAGAATGACTTGATTGATTAACTGAATATTTTGATATTGCAGTTTGTAAATGCTTTTGTCTTCTGTGGAGGAATATGGAACTCCTTTCTGATTATTACTGTTGGGGAAGAGAATTCTACTATAAGTACAACATGGACTGCCTGATTTGACAGGCTACTGGTATACTCCTTGGGTGAGTTTTGAGGCATTGGGCTGAAAGTGAAGTGCCTTTCAACTATCCACGAAGTATGTCCATAGCCAGCTAATGAACACAGTGCTACACACAATATGGCTCATTCATTATAAATTGCTTTTTTAAAAGAAAAAACTCAAGCCAGCATTTTTAAAAAACACTTTTGAAATGTTTATGCTTGCTTGTGTATATGTCTAGGGGTAAAATTTTCAAAAGTACCTAAGTAACTTAGGAGCTTGAGTTCCATTTTCCAAAGTGACCTAGTCACTGCAGGGCCCAAGTCTCACTGGAAGTCAGTGGGACTGAGGTTCCTAAGGTTATGCCTACACTGCAAAAGAAATCTCATGGCAGCAAGTCTCAGAGCCATGGTCAACTGACTTGGGCTTGTGGGGCTTGCGCTATGGGGCTAAAAATAGAAGTATAGACATTCCTGCTTATGCTGGAGCCTGGGCTCTGAGACGTGGCAAGGCATGTGGGTCTCAAAGCCCAGGCTCCACTCCAGGCCTACACTGCTATTTTTAGTTCTATAGTTCAAGCCCCCAGAGCCCAAATCAGATGAACCAGGCTCTGTGACTCACTGCTGTAGGGGATTTTTTGCAATATAAATGTGCCATAAGTGTCTGAGGACCAGATTTTCAAAGGTACTTAGGGGCTTGAAGATGCAGATTGGTAACTAGTGGGATTTTCAAAAGTGCTTGAGTGGGTTAGGTACTTAACTCCCTGTGAAATCAATGGGATTTGGGGCTTAACCTGCCTAGGCTCTTTTGAAAATTGCACCAGGCACCTATCCATGTCTTAAGGGAGTGGTCACCAACCGGTAGATTGTGATCGACTGGTTGATCCTGGAGCCTCTGGTAGTCGATCGCAATCTCTGGCCGCTAAAAGTCCAGTGGTGCAGCGGGGCTAAGGCAGGCTCCGTGCCTGCCGTGGCCCTGCGCCACTCCCAGAAGTGACCATCACTCTCCTGAGGGGGGACAAGGGTCTCCACGCGCCGCTCCTGCCTGCAGGCACTGCCCCCACAGCTCCCATTAGCCGAGAACGGGGAACTGCAGCCAATGGGAGCTGCGGGGGCCATGCCTGCAGAGACGGGCACCATGCGAAGACCCCTTCCCCCACCACCAGGGGCCACAGGGATGCGATGGCCACTTCCGGGAGCGGTGTTGGGCCGAGGAAGGCAGGGAGCTTGTGTTAGCCCTGCTGTGCCACTACCTGAGGTAAGTGCCACCCGGAGGGAGCCCGACTCCTCCTGCACCCCAGCCCTCGGCCCTGAGCCCCCTCCTGGAGCCAGCACCCCATATCCACTCTTGCACCCCAACACTCTGCCCCGAAACCCCCTCCTGCACCCAAACTTCCTCCCAGAGCTTGTTCCCTTCACTCCTTCCTGCACCCCAACACCCTGCCCCAGGCTCATCCCAGAGCCCCTCTACACTCCGAACCTCTCAGCCCCAGTCCAGAGCCCACACCCCTGCCCCAGCCTGGTGAAAGTGAGTGAGGGTGGGAGAGAGCGAACAATAGAGAAGTGGGGATGGCCTGAGTGGGGCGGGCGTCAGGGAAGAGGCGGGGTAGATCCTGGGTTGCACTTAAATTCAAAAAGTGATCTTGTGCATAGAAAGGTTGGAGACCACTGTCTTAAGGCATCTAAATATCTTAGAAAATCCACCTCTTAGACACTTCAGAGAATGGGACTTACCTTGTCTATATCAGAGAAAAAGTGTGTCATTTATGCTTTGAAAATGTTGCCAATACTATCTTATGAGTAAATATTGCAATGAAACAGAGAACATTTTGTTACCAGATTACTGGAGTGAAAGCGACCAGGATGATATTGATGGCTCTTTAACCCTGAAACAGGAAGGTCCTTCAACACTATGTGACACCTACCATCGAACACCCTCAGTAAGTCATGAATAGTACATGCTGTATAAGGCCAAGAAATACATTTCCATGCTTCTTTGATTAGTATTTTGCTTGCTTTGTAATGGCATCTAATTACATCATGAGCAGAACAGAGGTGATTCTCAGCTGTAAACTATGAGAATATTATCATTTCTAATGGCTAAGAGCTGGGGTGAATGTTCTGAAAATAAGAAATGGAAGCACATAGAAAGAAGAGGCTACTGCCGTCTTACTCTGCTGTGTTTACCTAGTGTGTTTAAGTCAATTTTTTTCTTAAAAAAAAAATCCAATATGAAAGGAATATATAGATTTTGACTCCATTATGAATAAAATGTTTTGTACTTGGGTCATCTCTATTAACTGAGAGTTTATACTGTATCTACAGTGTTCCATATTTACTGGAAATTAAGATTTTTAGATTGTATTCATACAATAGTCATCTGCAGGAAAAATATTTTATTTATTAGAAACATATCTTTAAAGACAAGTTTCTTTCAATATATAGCATTGTGTAAAATACCCATGGTATTTGCAATATTTTTCTTAAGAGGTGTTTTAAAGCAAAAAATAGCTGATAAAAGTTGTGTACAGTGTATGGGCAGGTTCTGGTAGCTGATAAAAGCATTGCTGCTATACAGTACATGGGTAGGCTGTGATATTTAACCTTTGTTTCTAAGTGCAGATAGGACTGTTCTCTATTTTTCTTTCAGATTTTTCTTCAGCGTGAATGACATGATCCACACACAACCAGAACCAAAGAAAGAGTGACTGAGGCAACAGCATCACATGGGTGAAGTTCAGACTGATTTTCACCCATGTGATGCTGTTTTATCAACCGGGATACAGGTTAAGCCCCTCCCTTTCTGTTTTTCCACTTTTTTGCCTTTCTCTTTTTTTTAAATTAAAATAGTACAAAGACCAAGCAGAATTTAATTAAAATAATTTGGATAAGCTCAGCAGTTCCCTAAAATTTAAATGTTTTCTTGGGTGCTGAAGTGTCTCTTTTTTTTTTCCCCTGTTTGGCTGGAACATTTGCCCTTTGAAAAGAAAGGAAATCCAGTTATGGTTTCTTTTGAGGGCTTCCATGTCTTTCTCACAACACACCGCTGGACTGGGTGTAAGCTGGGTAGGTCTTTGCAAAACCTATACCAGTGCTATCCTGTCCTTTCCAGCAGGAGTTGCTCTTGGGCAGAGAATGTGTCAAAACAAGAATAGGGAGTGGTTAAAAATGTAGTGCTTACATAAAGTATTACACAGTTAGTTATGTCTTGCTTGCTAAGAGTTTATAGTGTGACATACCAAAATATACAAATCAGATCATTTGGTTAGTACTAATTATATACTGAACTGTATCTGTTGTGGTTTGTCAATGTCTAGTCACAGTTATGTCTTTATAATCAGATATTTTCATTCCTTCTTAGGTGAATTCTTCAAGTCCATTCCCTGAACTGAAACATGGTCGACACTTTTCAAGCGAATCTACCTACTCCTATTCTTCTGCGGAGGATTCCCGACAAGATGCCACAGGAAGTACACACTCATCAGGATGCAGACCTCCCTATCGAGAAAGGCGCTCATGGCAGGACCTGATAGAGACCCCTTTAACCAGTTCTGGCCTCCATTTTCTTCAGACTGTTCCTCCTGACCCAGAATATGTGAGTGGCCGACCTGGAATGTCACCAGAGAGGCGAAGACAGGCAACATTACCAGTCCAAAGACATCACAATCATGAACGAGATGGACCTTTCCCTTTGGTGGAGTGGCAAAGGGGATATAGTTCACATAACAGGCCCCAGAAGCAACGTAGTCAAAGCCTTCCACGAAACAGAGATGTCAGGGGCAAAGGGCGTGTAAAGTCTTCAGGCATAACAGAAGAGAAGCCTGAAGAGAAACTTCTTATTAAAAAGCAAAATAATTTCTGTGAAGAAGGTAAGATTTTGAAGGGACTCTGGCACCAGTACTCACCACTGACCTCAATGGGAGCTTTGCCATTGACCTCATTGATGAATGATCAGGCTTTATATGAGTATCTTTGTGGCAGAATTATAATTTCCAAGAAAAATGAAAATATGGAGATTGCATTAGTTACTACACCGTAATTTTGGTTCAGAAAGTGTATGTACATTCTGATTCCAACTTTATTGTTGATCAGAATGTTTTGGTTTTATCAATTCTCAAATCGGGAAAGGATATTAGGTGGTTATTCCATAGGCAACTTTCAGAATTCTTGAGCTTTTCAGGATCTTTCATTACCCTCCCATCCAAAGTTTCCTGGATTGTTAAAAAAATTATAATTTTTTTTCCAGAAAACATAAAGGAAATCAGGGAAAGTACAGATGGTCTGCAAGAGCTGTACAAGTCTTTGGAACAAGCCAGCTTGTCAGCCTTTGGAGAGCAGCGTCCTTCTACCAAGCAGGAATTCCGGAAGTCTTTTGTAAAGAGGTGCAATGATCCAATTATCAATGAAAAACTTCATCACATCAGAGTTCTCAAGAGCACTTTAAAAGTAAGCTGTTACCATTAATGTTTATGTTCAACATGAAATTGTAACAGTATAGCTTCTTAAAATTTTCAGTGTATGGACTTTTATTTTAGAGAGAGAATTAGGTCACAAGGAAACTTTGGCAGTACTGAGAGAAACAGAAGATAGGGGACAGTTGCCAACCTCACAACCATTGCCAGTATTTGACACTCTTGTTTCCTGTGTCATGGAGGATGCCAAGGACTGAATTGTCAAGAAGACCTCATTTACTACGCTTTTACAATTAGAGATGGTCACTGTGGAATCATGCCAATGGATATAGGGAAGATTGCCTTGCACTGTGTGAGCTGTAACAGTTCTGGGTATAGATAAAGGACCTTAGTGTGCATTGCAGTTGCTCTAGCACCTTTTGTTAGCACTCAAGGACAAATAAAAGGCCCAGTATAACATGTCATTTAAATTGTATTTCTGAAATGTGCTGTGGTTTTTTTGGCATTTGACAGGCAAAGGAAGGGGACCTGGTAACTATCAACAATCTTCTGGATGATCCCAACTTGACATCAAAGAAGTTCAAAGAGTGGAAGCTAAAGAACTATGAATTTTTCCTGGACATTTGTGAGTACAGCGCTGCTCTGAAACCTCAAAATGGAGCCGCTGAACTTGTAACCCCTGCACCACTGCTGACACACACACATTCATTCATTGAAACACATGTCTGACAGGAGTAGCACCGTGAACCCTTGCTGGGTGCCATGAGAAATCCAATATGGCAAACACTGTAATATTTGTAAATGTACTCAGCGGTATTGTAAATAACTTGGATAAGAGAATAGTGCCACAGGATGCCTACTACATTGCATGAGAAATATTATTCTGTTCTGAATTACTTTGTTTGCTATTATCAACCAACATGCTTATCAAGTTCTGCATTAGAAAGAAGCAGTGCAGGAGTGTTATGGAAAATATATACCAGTATATTTATTTAAGGACTGTACTAAAGCTAAGCTTATAGTAATGAGTTCTTACAACCATTTTATATATTTAGATATATATTATATGTAAACATATCTACGTATATAAAAGGTAACATAGTAGTTTATATTTATTTTTTAAAATACCCTAAAATTCACCTTTTCACAAGTTTTTCTTGAAGGAAATATATAAAAAAAAATACACTGGCCACTCTTAGGGGTGCACATTTTTTTCCAGCCTTTCCAAGCAGTGGTAGCTACCATCTTTATGAAATTAGAGAAGACCAGAGTAATAAAAAAAGTAAACTTAACCACTTTCGGGTGCCTTACAATGTATAGTGTATATATCCAGCAAATAGACTCTCCTTTGGCCCTATGAGCATACTGTACATGCCACTTTGATGTTGTGCTTATTTTTAAAACAATGAGCTTTCCTTTAAAAGGAGTGGCCATAGGCACGCAAGCGTGGCACAGAAGAGGTTAAGACACAAGTAGAACAAAGCTGGTTGTTCACCGATGCTGTCACTTGAACTGACTTTTCTATCTACTTTGAAGTGTTTTGTGGAAAAAGAAAAACATCTGCTTCTGAAGATGGTAGCTATGGCAGTTTTCAAAATCGCACCACTGTGAATTTAGTGCCACAAACCTGTGAGTCATAAAATTATTAAAATATTGTTATCTGATGCTTCAAGACTGAGAATTAAGTAAAAGATTCTTGAACTGATCAGTTGTTTGTATATCAGACTGTCATATAGAGCTGGGTAAAGAATTCATATTGTTCAAAATTATTCACCATATAATTCTTTATCTGTAGATACTTCATGAACAAGTTAATTGCAAGTGTTCAATTCAGTATTTGAAACTCAATTTGTATTAATTAGTTTTAAATGGATGCATAAAATCACATGGTTTCTTTCTGTTCTCTGCTTAGAAACTTGAAGATTCAGGTTTTTGGAGTGAATATTTGCATTTATGAAAACAAAATCTGCTTTCCATAAATATTCTCAAATACGCACTTAAAACTCAAGTTTCTGCAAACATTCCTGCTAGTAAACTTATTTATTAGAATATTCTCAGAAAGCAATTTCATATATACATTTGAATAAATATTTGCAGAAAAATGTATTTGCCCAGTTCTAGTTTCACAGAGGGAATCAAAGTGTAAAGTTCAAATTATTTGTTGTGATATGAAATGGAAAAAGATGGCTCTAGGAGATAAATTTACTTTATAGAGACAAGAATTTATGGGGAGAGAGCATCCTTTTGTTTGGTTCATTTATGATACAGTACCTGAAAAAAAGGAATGCTACTCAGACTTATTTTTCTATCACTATTATACCACCATTTATTTGAACCATAGTGGACACAGTGGTAAAAAAATTCACCCTGAAATAATTCCAGGATATAGTTATATTAGTAGAAGAATATTACTGACCTTTATATTGGGTTCTCGGCATCACACCAGCTCTTGAATCATGAAATCATTGCACTACAGTTATAATTACATTTGGATAGAACATACAAAATAAGTGCATAGCAATTAAGTCCATGCTTGGTCCCATTCAGGTCAATGGGCCCGTAAGCATGGACTTAAAAGGGTATGATCTTGCTCCTGTTTAAATTAATGGCAAAATTCCCATTGTCTTCAGAGGAGCAGGATTAAACCCTAAATGCTCTGCTGAATAGTGATGGATTTAAGCATGCACTTAAAGTTAATCCTGTGCCTAAGTGCTTTGCTGAATTGCGGCAATAATGAAGGTGCAGGGAATAGACAGAGAAAAACTTGCCATCATACATTCACCAAAATCAGAGTTGTGATATTCATGCAAACAGTAAACACAAATCTGAATGTATTTACTATGTGAACATTTTAATTAGTGCACCACTGAATAGAAAGAGCATGAGAAGAGAGTTCTTATCTTTCTAACTTTTGTTCATATCAGATCTATAAATATAGATATAAATATGTATCTCACTATTTTTTTATTCCTGTCCTCCATATGGTGTGGGAGGAGTATTATGTATTGAAATAAGCAATGGTGTAAGGTGGAAAAGCCACTTTGAAACTGTACTGCATACTGTACGTGCATTAACAAGAAGCTATAGATGGTCACAAAATACTAATTAAATGGATTGTGCTTTTGGTGTTCTTACTGAGATTTTCTCATCTGCATTTTGGTTCAAACCCAAACCACAGTCTGTGCTTTTGTACTAAGATTTTAAAACAATGCTCAAGAGGGATTCCATTGTATTGTAACCCAAAGATCGGAAAATGCCACTTGACTGGAGAACATGTTAAATGAAGTCTTTGGTAAACATTCAAAAGTGAAGTTACACTCTTCTTCTCAAATATTAATTGGATAGAGCTAAAATAGAAAGAATATTTTTTTTCTAGTGGATATGTGCCTCCAAAAATAAACAAAAATGGTAGCTAAAAAGACTGGATCGCAACCTTCATTTCTCAGAGGGTTTAGTATAATTAAAAGAAAAATAATCAAAGGTATTTCTGAAAGCTAATGAGTGGCTGAGATTAGTCTGGGCTATAAAACTAATCCCTCCCATGGCTAAGAGATCACAACTTCTTTTGATCATATTTTCTTTAAAAGCTTTCCTTGGCATGAGTCTATTCATTTTGAAGTTCTAGTGATATGAGTCTGTATTTTACTCTTGGAGAGCCACCCCCATTAAGCTAAAATGTGTTTTGGTTATTCAGGATAAAAAAAAGTGAGCTAATAAGGAAAATGAACTGTTTTTCCTTTTAGTATACATCGGACAGGTTTCTCATGGCTGGGGTTGAGACAAACTGGGAGATAGGTTTGGAGCAAAGCTTAGCCCCTAGAACAACAAAAAAATTATTTCTAAGTCTAAAACAGTATTTTTATTCTTTTAGCTTTTACAAATATCACTAACATGTCAATAGAGACAAAGTATTTTCAGAATAATTTTGACATATTTACTTACATGCATACAAAAGTCTGTACAATAAATAAGAATCGGTTAAAGCTGATTTGCTAAGAAAATGTCAACCAATGTATGCCTCTCAATTTCTGTTTAATATTAGGAGAAGCAGAGTTTAACTTTCTAAACCAAACAAGACAAGACTTTCTGTATTTAGGTTTAAAAAAAAACACTTGAGAATAAAGATGTGGAGTTCTTTAAGTTAAAACAAGAAATTGTTTTAAAAATGTGAATTTTATATCCTACATTTTAAAAATAGCCTCCATCTTTTCTCATGGATAAAATAAATGAATAGGCTGGTTAATCTAGACATTTTGTTTGACATATGAGGTCAGATATTTGGCTCTGTTTCTGCCTATTTTGCCTTCTCAGGCTGTGCAAGAAAGTCAAAAAGCTGCCCAAAAAGAGGCTGTTAGAGATTTATCTTGGCATAGAAGAATCTCGGAAGAAAACAATATAGACAGATCTACTCCACCAGCTCTTGCTCCCAGTGTAAAAGGTGTCATAAGGGCAGGGCTAGGGAACACAGCATTTCAGTGAACCTTGTGGCATAATGGCACTGAGGCTGTTGAAATTTGTGCTCATAGTTGGCTTAGCTCCTAGCCAGCCGTGAGGTTCAGGGAAGACAAAAGATGCCTTAGACTGAGCTATGTGCCTCCCCACTGCTTCAGCTGTGCCAAGCTCTGCTCCAGTGCAATGAAGTTTGGAGTCCATAGTATGTCTCAGATGAATAAATAAATCCAGCTTCCACAGTATCCATCTACAAATACTGTTGTAGATCTTATATATTATACAAATGGTGCACAAACCTGCATTAGCACAAATTGTTTTGGGGTTTGTGGCCTGTAAGCCAATTGGAATGCAAGTTGTGATCCAAAGATTTAATTTATAAACAATGGTCCTGATCATATTTTCATTGAAATCAGTGGCAAAATTTCCTGATCCAAATTTTCCCTAACAGCCAATATAGTCCTCCTGAAATCAACATGGTTGCACATGAGTAAGGGCAGGAATGGCGCTCCCTTGACTTCAGTGGTGGAGCAAAATCAAGCCCAGAATAAATATATAATATTTATTAGTTCAATAGAATTCCTGCCTGAATACTCAGATAAATCCTGTATTTTTATTATCTTCAACCACATAAACAAAGTGTTTGGATGTATTTTATTTATTCAAATGTCTTCAGAGTTATTCAAACACTTTGAGCCTTTATTCAGACTTTCTGCCAGTAATATTTTTAACCAAAGACGTCACTCAATCAGCATGGCTTTCCTGCAACTCCACAAACTTCAGTAAGTCTTTTTGTTGCTAGATGCTCTTTTTGCAACTGATTGTATGCTTTTCACCAGCCACCCTCTTTTTTTATTATTGTTATTCTTCCATTTCCTCTAAATACAGTCCTTTGATGATCCCAATATCTATCTCAGTAGCATTTCCTGAAGGGTTTGAGACATTTTTTATTTTGTCATATTATCAAATGAAAATGTCCCTGAATTCATTCTATTTAATAAAAAGAAATAATCAAAGGAAAAGAGAAGCTCTAACAAGTTGCAGCATCAGTATTCTTTATTATCATCATGTGGCAGAGATGCTGAGTCAGATTCTATCCCTTATCCCAGTTCCTACATGCAAAAGCAAATACGGGCCATAGCTGTCACACAAAGGGTGGACACAACAGTGTAGAGCTGTCATCATGGGTATCAGAGGCATTATCTCCATAGTGCAATGAAGATTCTGGGCTGTGACACAGCTGCTAGACAAGCCATCAGGAGGCTGCTGTAAATTAGAGTAGCGCTTGGCAGCTCTAATTTGCTTTGGGGCCTGCACTGACCCCAAAGTAACCTGCAATCCTGAGGGTTCAAAGATGATTTAAAGTCATCTTTGCCCCACATCCCCCTGGGCTGCACTTTCTCAAACACTGACAGGAGACTGTTTCTTTCTTTCTCTTTAGGATTAAGAATCATCTTGCTCTCGTGCCAACTTTATGGTCCTTCTTTCCCAAATAGCCCGCCCATAAGCAGCTCTTGGATTAGGATAGGTCTTATTGCCACAAGGCAGCCCTGATCATTTGTTATCAAAAGACTCAGGTGGCCACTGTGCCAAAAAGAGAATTTTGAACTTGGAATGTTGATCATCAGTCCATTGTCAGAGCTGGGCCACTACCCATTAAACTGGAAAACTGGTGCACCATTTGTCTTTTCTTTTCTTTTCTTTTTTTTCTTTTTTCTTTTTCTTTTTCTTTTTTTTTTGAGCAGAGGTGACAAGAGAAGCAGGGGAGGGAATAGCATCCATACAACTGATGCAGGGAGTTCTCAGTTCTGAAGAACCTTAGATGAAAACTTAACTTTACCCCAACTCTCCTCTTTAATTATAGTTTTCTAGGTCAAAGTATTGCAGTTTGGGGAAGGGTACCATTTGAAAGCTTTTACTAAGGAAGTTCTCCAGAAATCTTGAGTCCTGACCAACCTCTCATTGGAGTCAATAGGTGTCTTACTATTGACTTAAAGGGAATTTAGACTGGACTGTTGATAGCATAGAGACTGGGAATGTTTCAGTGGTGACAAAAGTGTTGACATCAAAATTAAGATTCTGGCAGAAACTCCATATCATGTGCCTACAGTACATCTCTGAGGAACATTATTAAACTCCAAGGGCCATTAAACTCAGATCCATTAAATCTGCTTTTGTGCTTCTCCAGTGACACAAAGCACACTTAAGACCATCTGATCTGGGTCTCTGAGTACTATCTCAACATGCAATCTCCTGCAATCTTCCAGTGGCATGAAGGATGTGTAAAGCCCTCTCACTTATCAACACAGTGCATGTGCCTGTGAGAAAGGGTACATAGCTGGGGCTTTCTTACATCCTGGAAAACCCTGGCTGTCAGCCTCTTGGAGCTGTTGGAAGTCACTGTGAGAGCTGAATGCCTAAAGTTTCAGTCAACATTTAATGGCTTTAGGGTCAGGGAGTCACAAAGATGAGAAAGCAATTTTTGCTCCCTTTAAACATACTGGATTTGTGCCAGATGCCACTCAGCTGCTCCAGAGAATCTGAGCCCAAAGGCTTAGCTGTCCCATGACACAAGTGTCCCAGAAAGACCTGTGAGACTTGAGACTATATGAGGTCAATTGACCAATGGTATATGAAGTATAATTTAATTTTCAGACTAAACACCAATTTACTGATGCAGGTAAATCAGAAAACTGGGCTACTATCATGAACCCAATCCTGAAAAGGGTCAGCAAGGATACCAGGGATCTGCCTGCATGGTTTGTTCTGCAGGATTGGGGACCTGTGCCTCTAAAATGTCCGCCACAGCACACCACAATTCAAACTGTGCAAATGTTAGTGTAATATCTACAAGGGAGAACTTCCTAAAGTGGCATTTAATTGGCTTAAGTTTCAAAATATGGAAATTAGGCATTTGTAGGGAAGACATAAGGGGTATGGCCCATGTCAACTGTGGCTGGCCCATGTCAACTGACTTAGGCTTGTGAGGCTCAGGCTACAGGACTATAAAATTGCGGAGTAGACATTCGGGCTCGAGCTGGAGCCCAGACTCTGGGACCCCACAAGAGGGGAATGCAAAAACTGGATAACAGTGGCGATAGCAATATTAACTCAGCTCGAGATAACTTGGGCAAGGTGCTGAGCACTCTGGCCTTGATCTATAAAAACATTTAAGCAGGTGCTTAACTTTTAGCACATGCGAAGTCCCACTGGAGTCAGTGGAACTACGCACTTGTGTAAGGTTTACCCTGTGGTTAATCGCTATGCTGGGGCCTTAGATTTTTTGTGGACTGTTACTTTTATGTGAGGAGAGGCATTATAGCTCCTTTTTGACCCATCAGATCTTATTAAACTGCCTGCTTTTACTTCTTCAGATTTTTCTCATTAAACCTCAGCTGCGAAGAAGCTTTCATAGGTGTCCTAGATTTCTCTTTGCTTTTGTCTTTTATCTCCTTTTCCACCCAAATAAATTTACATACTGTAGTTTAGGCCCTGCAAAGATGTTGTCTTAACACATACCACTTAGTATCTAAATCTAATCTCAGCCATGTTATCCATTAGTGAATGGAAATTTGTTTTATATTTCTTATTATTTAAGTAACTGCTATTGAAATATAATATTTTTATGGTTGATTTTTAAAAGATTTTATTTCCTTAGCTTCTTATAAGCAGAACCAGTATTTTAATTATGATCAGCTCTATTTATTAATGTATAGGCATCTGATTCTCTAATCTTAATATAACTAATAGATTAAACTTATTTTCTACATGTTACAATTTATGCCATACTTCCATATTTGGAAGGAAGATTAAAATTAATATTGTTTAACTTTTGTCTGATTTTGAGATGGCTCATATACTACTGCAATCTGGTGTTAATGAATATGTTACACACCTCATTAAAAAGAATACTGACTATATTCACTCTATTCAGAAAATATTTATAGTCATTCTTAATACAGGCCAGTGCTGGAATAAACAAATTGAACTGTCTGTTTTTATTAAAATATGTACGTGCACTGCACGCACTAAACGTGACAGCTGAGTACTGTACAGTGTGCATTACAGCCACTCTATATGCAGTACTTGATGTAAGTGCTGATGTTATAGGAGAGAGAAAATAGGTAGAGAACTATGTTACTTGACTGGAAATGCCCAATAAACTTCTGTCCCCAAGCTTCTAGAGTATTATACAGTCTGAGGCATTTGTGGGGTCTCAGTTCAGCTGTTTTTACGTATTGTAAATGCATCTGGCAGAATGTTGCAAATAACTTACATTTCCGTATTATCTTGAGTCTCTCTTGCGTTTTGTCACTAGCAACTACAAAACACGTCTTAACCAACAAATTCTGTTCACTGGTCAAAGTAACAGTGAGACCTGTTATAAATGCTAAATTAGGCTTAGTATCCAGTAAGGACTTCTGTTTCACCAAGAAATTGAAGCATTTCAGGCTAAGAAGCTAGGAAGAGAAAAGTATAGACAATAAGAGGGAGGCAGTAGTATTAAGGATCCTTTTGCATTTGACACTGACGCTGTATTAATTACAAAGAAAATATCCTCGTAACACCATTAATTGCTGGGTCATAGATGACATCTGTCTAGTTTACTAAAGTAGATATTAAAACTTGTACAAATAGAGAGCCTATTTTAGATAATGCTTAAATGTATGACACCCTTGTACTATGGCTTGCACTTTACTTGCATATAAACTGTGAAGTAGGCTGTAGTAATAATGTCTTTGTATATTCAGGGGTTGAAATACCAAATCACTAGAGTATTATAATGCTGGTGTTCAACCTGTACTGTTAATCTAATCTGAACAAGCTCACAAAGTGTATTTTGAAAATCCTGCTAACTTATGATCATTAGCAAATAATGCTATGGAGTCTCCATGGTCTTTCTTTTGTAAATACGAACATTCTTACTATTTCTGTAGCAATAGGAGGTTATAAACCAAACTTTCACTAGGACTGTTTTCAACAACAAAAAATTCTATAGCGCCTTGTATAAAAATCATGGAGACTACATGATTTGTGGGCATTTTTGTTTACAGACAATGTATATATATGTATTAGAGGCAGAACTGTTATTTATCACAAAGCTATGTTGTGGTTGATTATTTCTAAAAGAAAATGTATGTTTTCTGTCATAAAGAGAAAAAAAGTATTTTATGGGAGCCATCCTGAAAAGAAGTTTGAAGATTCAAAGCTTCAAATACCAGTATGTCCACATTACAGATGTTTCAGCCCCACCTGCTGTATGTTTTCATAATTAGCTGTGAAATAAAACTGAGAGGTGATGATAAAATGTCTATCTGAGCCAGGGAAGAATCCTGGATTGTGTTACAGTTTATACATGGTTGGATATTTTGAGACTGCAATATAATAATTACCATCATATTTATATCTGAAGGTCCCTTTTGTGAGTAGACACCATTTAGATTCTGTAGTAGATAAAGTCCTTCAGCTCATTGATGCTACAGAGATAGAAAGTGAATTACTCTGGACTCATACAGTTAAAACTAAATTTCAACCCCTGGATAATACAGTACTTTTCCCGTTTCCCAACAGTATACTTAATTTTATACTTGTCCTATGTTGGGAAGTGATCCACTAATTTATATAGGCTATGAATGTTAGTTTATTTTTCTTTTCTCTTTTCAGATTAGTTCTGTGTGAATTATTGTAATTGGCTGCATTTTTTCTATCACAGGTTATCTTTTTGTGTGTCTACAATGAGAATTTATGAATGGAAAATTTCACTGTGTGTTGCTCACTGGGCATATACCTCATGGTACATTGCACAGACATGTAAGTTGTAAGTTGCACTGCAACATTAAAAAAGGAACATATTGCTCTTTTTTCAAAGATATTAACTTATTTAAAAGATATAGTCTGTACATTATGAAAAGGACATTTATTCCTCCTAAATTCAAAAGTAGCTTTTGTTTTGGGGGAAATAAGTTGTAAATTTCAGTTGTAAATTTGGACTTCAATAAACTGAATTCTCTGCACTTAATTTTGTGCTTCTCTCTTCTTTTATCTTTGTGTCCTATAATGTAATTTAAATGGGTTACTCAACCTAGGTCTCAGTCCCGCAAGAGGATTTGTGCAGGCATAAGGATCCTGTGTGGATTCAGGTGTAGCACTGAGCCTCATTTTGTTAGCTATTATCTGAAACTTTGTGTGGTTACTATTAGGCACCCCTGAGGCGGCTGTTTAAACAAGCTTTTTGGCCAAAGCTATTCTAATTTAATCAGCTTTTCCATTGCTTTCAAGTGAGAGATACTACCCACTTACTTAAATTAGTTCAGAAAAAAAGTCATCAAACGGTCTTATTGCATGCTCCAGAACAGAAGGGAAGAAATTGTATGTGAAAAATACACCTTAATGTTTAATTTGGTGTTATCTAAGGGCCTGATCCTGCAAACACTTATGCACAAGAGTAGTTCACTAAGTACAATGGAACTATTCTGGTGAGTAAAGTTACCCATGATTGTCAGTTGTTCGCAGAATCAAACCCTACAGCTGTTAAAGGAGAAAGAGAGAAGAATTTTTTTAAGTATGAGTGATGGTGGGAAGAGACCATAAAAGCATATTAGGTCTGCCACCTTAAAGGTCATTGGGGAATACTAAAGCATATTTTGGTTTGAGTATTGGCCTGCTAAACCCAGGGTTGTGAGTTCAATCCTTGAGGGGGCCATTTAGGGATCTGGGACAAAAATTGAGGGATTGGTCCTGCTTTGAGCAGGGGGTTGGACTAGATGACCTCCTGAGGTCCCTTCCAACCCTGAGATTCTATGATTATACTATGATTTTCAATTTTACACAAAATTGCATCTCACATTGTCATAAATATAAAGGGAAGGGTAAACCCCTTTGAAATCCCTCCTGGCCAGGGGAAAGCTCCTCTCACCTGTAAAGGGTTAAGAAGCTAAAGGTAACCTTGCTGGCACCTGACCAAAATGACCAATGAGGAGACAAGATACTTTCAAAAGCTGGGAGGAGGGAGAGAAACAAAGGGTCTGTATGTCTGTCTCTATGCTGGTTTCTGCTGGGGATAGACCAGGAATGGAGTCTTAGAACTTTTAGTAAGTAATCTAGCTAGGTATGTGTTAGATTATGATTTCTTTAAATGGCTGAGAAAAGAATTGTGCTGAATAGAATAACTATTTCTGTCTGTGTATCTTTTTTGTAACTTAAGGTTTTGCCTAGAGGGGTTCTCTATGTTTTTGAATCTAATTACCCTGTAAGATATCTACCATCCTGATTTTACAGGGGGGATTTCTTTATTTCTATTTACTTCTATTTTTATTAGTCTTCTTGTAAGAAACTGAATGCTTTTTCATTGTTCTCAGATCCAAGGGTTTGGGTCTGTGGTCACCTATGCAAATTGGTGAGGCTTTTTACCAAACCTTGCCCAGGAAGTGGGGTGCAAGGTTTTGGGAAGTATTTTGGGGGGAAAGACGCGTCCAAACAGCTCTTCCCCAGTAACCAGTATTAGTTTGGTGGTGGTAGCGGCCAATCCAAGGACGATGGGTGGAATATTTTGTACCTTGGGGAAGTTTTGACCTAAGCTGGTAAAGATAAGCTTAGGAGGTTTTTCATGCAGGTCCCCACATCTGTACCCTAGAGTTCAGAGTGGGGGAGGAACCTTGACACACATTAATCAGTTTCCAATTAACTTTGATACTGATTAGCATATGACACCAGATTCCTCTTGTAAACAAGGTGAGTTAGCACTTTATTATTTATTGTTATTTTCTATTTGTATTGCAGTAGCAGCTAGACACCCCAGTCAAGGTTGGAGTCACATTTGGCTATGCCCTGTTCAGAAAGAATGACAGACTCCCTAGATCAGGGATGGGCAAACTTTTTGGACCAAGGGCCACATCTGGATGGGGAAATTGTATGAAGGGCCAGGGCAGGGAGTTGGGGTGCGGGAGGGAGTGCAGGGTATAGGAGGGGGTGCGGTGTGCAGGAATGGGCTCAGGGCAAGGGATTGGGGCAGAGGAGCGGTGCGGGGTGTATGGGAGGCTCAGGGAAGGGGGTTGGGATGCAGAAGGGGTGCGGGGTGTGACGGGGCTCAGGGCAGGGAGTTGGGGTGCAGCAGGCGTGTGGGGTGCGGCAGGGGGCTCAGCGCAGGGGGTTGGGGTACACAGGGGTGCGGCGGTGGCTCAGGGAAGGGGGCTTGGGTGCACGGGGTATGGGGTGGAGCAGGGGGCTCAGGGCAGGGGGTTGGGGTGCAGGAGGGGTGCGGCAGGGGGCTCAGGGCAGAGGTTGGGGTGCAGGAGGGGTGCGAGGTGCAGGCAAGGAGTTGGGGGGCAGGATGCAGGAGGGGTTTGGGCTCCGGCCCAGTGCTGCTTACCTAAAGCGGCTCTGGGGTGGCAGCAGCGCACACCGAGGCCAGGGCAGGCTCCCTGCATACCTGCCCTGGCCCCATGCGGCGCCGCTCCAGAAAGCGGCCAGAACCACGTCCCTGCGCAGCCCCTGGGGGTGGGGGGGACACAAGGCTCCACATGCTGCCCTTGCCGCACCTCCAGGTACCTTCCCCGAAGCTCCTATTGGCCACAGTTCCCCGTTCCCAGCCAATGGGAGCTGCGGGGGGCGGTGCCTGGAGGCAAGAGCAATGCATGGGGCCCTCTGCCCTCCCCCCCACCCCAGGCCGCAGGGACGTGGTGCCAGCCGCTTCTGAGAGTGGCACGGGGCCTGCGGCATCAGGGGGGGCAATCCCACAGGCCGGATCCAATGCCCTGAGGGGCAGGATCTGGGCCGTAGTTTGCCCACCCCTGCCCTAGATACATTAATTCAAAACAAAATGATACACAACTTTTATCGGAGAGAAGGAAGCAATCTCCCAAAGCAGTGCCACCAAAAAACAATGGGAATTAGAACATCTCAAAGGCTAATGAAGCACAGAATGCTGTCCTTAAAATGAAGAATGGTCAAAGAATCATAATCTGGGTGAATAATAACTTATAAATGTAGAATTATGAACAAAAAATAACTGCATTCAAAAATAAAACAGTGTACAACTTTAGAGCCTACAAGTCCACTCAGTCCTATTTCTTGTTCAGCCAATCGCTCAGGCAAACAAGTTTGTTTACATTTACAGGAGATAATGCTGCCCACTTCTTGTTTACAGTGTCATCTGAAAGTGAGAACAGGCTTTCGCATGGCACTGTTGAAACCAGCTTCGCAAGATATTTATGTGCCAGATGTGCTAAAGATTAATATTTCCCTTCATGCTTCGACCACCATTCCAAAAGGCATGCGTCCATGCTGAGGATGGGTTCTGCTCAATAATGATCCAAAGCACTGCAGACCGACACATGTTCATCTTCATCATCCGAATCAGATGCCACCAGCAGAAGGTTGATTTTCTTTTTTAGTGGTTCAGATTCTGTAGTTTCCGCATCGGAGTGTTGCTCTTTTAAGACTTCTGAAAGAATGCTCCACACCTCATCCCTCGCAGATTTTGGAAGGCACTTCAGATTCTTAAACTTTGGATTGAGTGCTGTAGCTAGCTTTAGAAATCTCGCATTGGTACTTTCTTTGCATTTTGTCAAATCTGCAGTGAAAGTGTTCTTAAAATGAACAACATGTGTTGGATCATCATCCGAGATGGCTATAACATGAAATGTATGGCAGAATGCGGGTAAAACAGAACAGGGGACGTACAATTCTCCCCCAAGGAGTTCAGTTACAAATTTAATTAACACATTATTTTTTTACGAGTGTCATCAACATGGAAACATGTCTCTGAAATGGTGACCAAAGCATGATGGGGCATATGAATGTTTAGCATATCTGGTATGTAAATACCTTGCAATGCCGGTTACAAAAGTGCCATGTGAATGCCTGTTCTCACTTTCAGGTGACATTGTAAATAAGAAGTGGGCAGCATTATTTCTTGTAAATGTAAACAAAGTTGTTTGTCTTAGCTATTGGCTGAATTTCTTTTATCTATCATTTTTACAGTGCAAATATTTGTAATAAAAATAATATAAATAAAAAAGTGAGCACTGTACATTTTGTATTCTATGTTGTAATTGAAATCAATATATATGAAAATGTAGAAAAACATCCAAAAATATTTAATAAATTTCAGTTGGTATTCTATTGTTTAACAGTACAATTAAAACTGCAATTAATCGTGATTAATTGTTTTGGGTTAATTATGTGAGTTAACTGCAATTAACAGCCCTATTATCAATATTTCAGTTTCAGTCAATACACATTATTGAGAAAAACTATACCAAGAATTGAAGCACATTTTTATAATTTCTAAGAATGCATAAGGGACCATATCTAAAATGTACTCAGTTACTTTTCAGCTGTGTGTGCACATGCAAGCTCACACACAGCTTCAAGTTCATGACCAGCCTCATCATCATTTCTCATTAGTTAATAAAACTCTATTATTCCAACATTCTCTCATTTATGTAAAACAGTTTTATTAGTTTACTGCATGCTCTTTGGAATGGTATAGTATAAGGTTGCCAACTTGGCATATGCACAAGAAAGACTCCATAGCCTTGTGCTGACAGCACCCACCCAGCATGTGGGAGACCCAGGATCCCATCGCTTGGCTACAATGATTCTCCAATTATTTGTCCAAAGTGGAACAGATTTAACAGCAGAGACTGAGGGCATCATCTTCCCCCTTCAGAATATACCATACCCCAGTCATTAAGGTACTCTCCCAAGAGGCAGCATCTCCCTTCTCCCTCTCAGGCAGAGGAGGGAATTGAAGGGGGGGCGGGAGGGTCTTCCACATCCCAGGTAAATTCCCTAATCACTAACAGTTATGAGGAAGGTCCTCCTCCCCCATGGCTTACTGCAAGAAACACCTTAGGCACCTGGCTTCGGGTTCACAGCTGCGAATCTTAACCAGAGACAGGCAACTGCTTCCAGCCTAGATTTAGAGACTGAACCCCGTGAGAGCGGTGGGGTTGATCACACACTCCTCCCTTTGGCATCTCATAGATATTAAGGTCAGAAGGGACCATTATGATCACCTAGTCTGACCTCCTGCACAATGCAGGCCACAGAATCTCACCCACCCACTCCTGCAATAAACCTCTCCCCTATGTCTGAGCTATTGAAGTTTAGGCATGGTGCCCCCTAGCATTTTGGTTTTTATGAATCCCATTCATAGGTGCCTATCTCTGGACATTTATTTTGTAGGAAACCTAACTCAGGCTTTGTGAATAGTATTGATTTTAAAGGTGCCTAAAAGTTAGGTATGACAACACTGAGCATTGTTATGGTAGAGGCTGGGAAGGGGAGTGGCATACAAACCAAGTCATTATAGCAATTTTACCCCATCTCAGGATTCCTACACAGATTAAGCTGGTTTCCTGGCTGTTTTGCTTCATTGGCTCAGCACAAAGCAGCCAGCTCAGACTGGAACACCCAGTTTCCTTTTTCTCTAACTAATTTCCTCCAGAAAATCGCCCCCTTTGAAATGATGCATGTCAGTAGCACATAACTTCTAAGAATCCTGAAACAGCTTTATCTACGTTATTCCTTCCCAGAAGCTTGAATTATATTTCCAGCTCTGTTGCTCCCCAGAAACATGAATGATTAAAGTTTCCTATTTCAGTGGGAGAAGACACGCTCATATTAATCAGTCCAGTCACTTTCAGAGCTTCTGCCACCATGTCTCAGGGTCATGAGGGACTTGGTCGACTGTTCAAAAACGTATCCCTGCTCCGGGTTCCCTTTCACAGAGGACATACGTTTGGTAAATGGATGACCTTTTCTTTCCCACGCCTGTTTTGTTTTGTTTTGTTTTGGGGGGGGGGGGGTCAGAAGCTGCCCTTCATTTTCCCGTTAGCTTCTTTACCTCCACTGGAAAATGTTGTAGCAAAACCCCGCTATTTTTAGGTGTCACTCTGAGCCCCTGCAGCTAGTGCATGAGCGTGTTGCGTTGCTACATAATCTTTTGAAGTTGAAACCTGGCGAACTCCAGGCTAGCAGATGGGGAACGGCCAAGCGATTAGAAACGATGATCAAAACCTGATTACAGTCTCTCGAGACGAAGCGCTTAGCTCGCTGCCTTGGGCGCGCTTCACACCCAAGTCTGAGAGGGAGACTCTGACGAGCGGTGTCTCTAGCCCCGCCCCCGTCTCTCACGCTCAGGGGGTGGGGTGCCAGCCCCGCGGAAGACGAGCACTGGTTTGGCCTCCTCGCGTGCCGTACAAACTCGCTGCTGGGGGACAGGAGGAGGAGGGGTCACTAAAATGGCGGCTAAGGTGAGCGTCCGTCCCCGCTCTAACTGCCATGGGGCGGGGGCAGCTGTTCTTCCCCCGGGACACGTTAGAGGCGAGAGCAGATCGGGCGGGGACACCAGTGCCCCCCGACTCCCTCCCACAGCCGTTGTCTGCCGCCAACTCTCCCCTCAGAGCCCGGGGGCGCGGCCTCTCGCCAGGGATCCTAGCCGGCCTGCTGCGCCGACGCTTCCTCTCGGGGTTCCTGGCTGCGCGGGGAGCCGGACGCTCCTTCCTACGGTGCTGCGGAATGGGGCCCCCAGTCGACAGGGGCGTGCGGCTGGGAGAGGCATTGCCATTGCCCTGGCTGGTCTGCACGGCACCGGCCTGGGATGGTCTCTGAGCCTCCAGCACGGGCGGAAGAGGCACATGGGGGCTAGTTCGTACCGATGGCCCAGGGCCTGTGGCTGGGTGGAGTACCCACCTTGGGGACGGTGGGGCCCTGCACTCTAGGGCGCGCAGATGGCATGACGTGGGTCTGTGTAGTCATAGTCACTGCACTTTTTCATTGGCTCTCTCCACGCACCGATTGTGTCTCCGCCTTGGCCACTTGTAGCCCCTGCCTTACGGTGATTAACGTTGTCTTGATGACAGATGTATGGGGTTCAGTGTTGTAGACTTGTCCTGCTCATTCATGATTAAGGCTACGATTTTGTCATGGATATTTTTAATAAAAGTCATGGGCAATAAATAAATTCTCGGAAGCAGTGACCTGTCCCTGACTTTTACAAAAATGTCCATGACAAAATGGGGAGGGAGGAGGGCCCAGCACCCTGCCCTGCTATGGCTGGGAGTTGCGACCTGTGTCCAGTGGCTGGGAGGGACCCCCTGCTGTGGCTGAGGACATGCCAGGGATCCCCCAGTGCCTGTGGGGACTGGGGAGCTCTGGGGGATTCCCCCCCCCCCCCGCAGGCAGCTGGGGACCCGCCACTCCGGGCAGCAGGGATATCCTGCATCTCCCGACCAACATGGGTGGTGGGGATAACCTGAAGTTCCCAGTGGCTGCAGGCTGAAGTCATGGAGGTCTGCAGAAGACACGGATTCCTTACTCATGATTATCTGTGTATCTCTTAGGGTGTGCCAAAATTATCTGTTGCAGTCACTGAGTCACATTTTTTCTTAACGTTTTAAAATGTAACTCTGCTTGTAGGTGTCTTGTATTGAGTTTATATCCGTAGGGAAATATTGGCTTTCCTCTTATGTTCTGTTTAATAATGCATTTAATGCAGCATTTGTGTACACACCAATTTTAAATATTAGTGATTAAAAATAACAGCTGATAGTCATTTCAGATAACCTCCCCCCATTGCCACAAGAAAATAAAAATGAAACTTCACACTTATATTGCATCATTCTACCAAAGCCCAATTAAATGGCTAGTGGAAACCAATGTTATAGTTTTGTTCCCTATGAAAGCTTAGTATACTAACTTTAAAATAAAAAAAAAACACCTCTGATCTTGCACACCTCTCTGTTCTATGCTTAAATTGGTTTGTAAGATATTGGGTGCTAAAAGCATGTCACAGAGTGAAGTGTGGGAATTAAGATGGCCTTAAAAATGTTGTTTAAGGTCTAGTGTTTAACGGCTGGTCAGGTGTAAAAGCAATAGGTGTCAAATACAAATGTAAGCCCTAGATCCTGCAGTATATTGCATGGGGATGGACTGCTATGCCCACATGGAGCCCCTTTGACGACAGTGTGGGTTGAATGTGGATGCTGCAGACTCTTCTGTTGTCTATGTCTATGGCTCAGCTCCTAAGGACTAATACTGCTAGATAATTGTTTCTTTAAAAATGCCCTACCAATTGAAACTTCCCCCTTCACAAGTGGGTAAGGAACTGACTCTTGAGTGTGAAGTTTTAATCTACCACTACTGTGCCAAAAAAGCTTGAGGTACTGAGGAAGAATGTAAAACATATTAATTTTTTGATTAAATAGCAGAAAGACTCCTTCACTTTTCAAATTCTCCAAAAAATAATTCTACCGTCCTTTTTAAACATTCCAATTTGCATACTAATCAGTTACTTCTATCAAAACTTAGAGGGCAATGCAAAATAGAGCTTAGAACAATGTCGAAACCTAACCATTAAGTGGAGTTGAGACAGAAGCTTCCATAATGACATCATGGAGCATCACAACAACCTGTAAAGTAGATAAAATATTTCTAATGCTGTTTTTTTAAATTGAGGCATCAGAGACGTAAAGTGACACGACCAAGGTATCACAACAAGATAATGGCATCTCTGGGTATAGACACAGGAGTCCTGATTTCTAAAAATTTAACTCAACCAGTATATACACATTCTAAATGGAGGGCAGGAATAAAGTTATCAGTTGATGCACTATTGTATATAATTAGTAATGCTGATGTTCTTGCATCATAGATGTTTAACAGAGTAATATTTCCGATACTCCGAATTTTTTTCTTTTACTAAATTACTTCATGTTTTCTCTGTCCTCAGTTATAGAGCATACATTGCCTGTCATAATGTTCCCTTGTTACAAGTATACAAAAGATTCTCTTTTGAATTACAAAGGTAAAGTTGAAATAAAGGTTTTAAAAGAGTAATATCAAAGTGATTCTGAAAATTCTTGAGGTTTAGTGCTCATTTCTCTTTAAACACTTTGTATGTTTTAATGTGGAAGAGAACAGGAATTTTAAGAGAGCTTAGAAATACTATTTGCTATTTTGGAATCTGCTCCTTGATAATTTTGACGGGCAGGTTTCGTTTAATGGATTATTATTTTTAAAATTTTGTTGTTGAGAAAATTGAAAAGAAAAAATCCTCTATCTTAAAAATATAATACCTACCTCTTGTCAGCCATGTTTCATATAATCGTATCTAGCCGTTAAATGATAATTATTCTTAATAAAACTTGAAGCAAAGTACACTTACTTATTGGAGGAACAGTGGGAGGAAATGAATTTACAATGTGTAGTCTTACTTAAAATGGGAATGTAATCTGACATCTGATTGTAACTGAGGCACTTGCTTCAATGGAGTTATTCCAGATTGACAGCAGTAAACTGTGATTACCCTTCCCCTCTCAAGGGTAGAGTTCCAGCTATTAGCTAGCCCCTCTTATCTGCTCAGTAACATTGGTTTCTGCACTTTGAGGGCTGCTAGCCTTGCTTCTTGACAAAAGTGAAGTGGTGTCTGATTAAAATATGAAAAAAGACTGCAGAGAAAATTAGCTTTGTTAATAATTATTCTTTTACAGTCCTTTTCACCTTAACAACATTTTGCAGATGTTGACTAAATTAATCCCCACAACACCCCTGTGAGATAGGTGAAATCAAAGCAGAGGTTAAGAACTTGATCATGCAAGATGCTGATACTTGCAGTCAAACCCAATATGCCTTGCCCAAAGCTACAGAAGAAATCATTCTAAGAGCCAGGTTTGGCACTCCAAAGTTCCTGGCTCCCACTCGTGTGTTGAAAGGGTGTGTTGCACCCTTTTTACTTTGAAATTAAAACACAGAGTACAGTGATGTATTAAGAAATAAAAACATTATTTTGATAAAAATGCTTGATAAGTAAATAACAAATGGACTATCAGCAAATTTAAAACCTGTCCGTATGCAGTTGAGCAAGTATAATCACACACAATTTTACCAGTAAGATTGTCTGTTTCACACCCTGGCCATTCCCAACCTGTTATGCATGCCCTGTGCAGCTTGACTTTTACTTAATTTAAAAGAGATGTATAGTACCATGGAATAACTACAGCATTTCACATAACATATTCACTTTGCATTCATAAAAGTATACAAACAAGATTAATATTTTTATGAACAGCCTATAAGTACAATAGAAATGGATTCCTTATAAATAGTTGAAGTAATGTTTGGAAGATGCAATTACACATAAGAAAACATGACATTAAAACATGCTATATTATAAGTAATTAAATTAATGTTTTAAATACATACAATATATTGTAGACAACAGATGTTAAATGCTGCATAATTTTACATGAGACATAAACTATACCTAAAGGCCTCAGCTAGGCTTCCATTCAGGTGTGCAAACAAATGTGTGAACACTTTTTTCAGTACAAGCATGAATCAAACTGTTGCATAGTTCTTGTACCTGCTCACATGCAAGGGTTGTTTGACCCTACAAAATCATTGAAGCAAATGTGTGCATGCATACGTGCACCCTTACTGTGCATATTCATACAGGTTTAGTCAATGGGATGAAAATCAGGTTTGTTACCTAAAATTCAGTTAAGATGCATTTTCTTAAAAAGGATCTGTGTACAGCTAGCCTGTGTACATGGGTCGTGTTGTCTCAACAGTATTTGGTATATGAATATGACTGAGGTGCAAAGTCTGCTTATGAGACTGACAGGTTAGTGGTGTAATGTGGATCCTTCCATAAAGCATCATAAGAATAGCCATAGTGGGTCAGATCAGTGGTCCATCTAGCGTAGTATCCTGTCGTCCTGCAGCGGCTAGTGCCAGATGCTTCAAAGGGAATGAAAAGTCAGGGCAATTATCAACTGATCCATCCCTTGCTAGTACAGTCCCAGCTTATGAGATTTAGGGATACCCAGAGCATGGGGTTCCATCCCTGACTGTCTTGGCTAATAGCCATTGATGGACCTATCCTCCATAATGTTGGAGCATCAGTGCTCCAAAGTTTGCTCTACTTTCTGATTTGTTTCCATATGGAATTCAAGATGTTGGTTTGAATCACAGAACACTAAATCAATGGTTCTCAACCAGGGGTCTGGGGCCCCTTGGGGGCCAGAAGCAGGTTTCAGGGGGTCCGCCAAGCAGGGCTAGTGGTTTAGACTTGCTGGGGCCCAGGACAGAAAGCCACAGCCCCACCACGTGGGGCTGAAGCCCAGGGCCGGGGCTGAAGCCTGAGCAATGTAGTTTTGCAGGAATCCCTCTGGCTTGGGGTCCCAAGCAACTGCCCTGCTTGCTACCCCATAACACCAGCCCTGGCTTTTATATGCAGAAAACCAGTTATTGT